GGGATATATATAAAAATTCACATGCTAAAAAGCAAACTTCAACAAATACCAAAAGAAAAAAGAAATCAATATTGCATAGATTCCACTTGCTGACACAAAGGGCAATAAAAGTAGTAAGAATACAAAAAATATTTAAACCAATAAACATTAAATGAAATTAATCCATACTCAAAAATACAGCCAAAGAAAAAGTAGGCTCACATTTTTTTTTTTTTTTTAGAAATTTTATCAAATTCTAGTCAAGATTTTTATAACATGTACAAGACATTCATTTGGGTTTTCTGTTAGTCCACTTTAATAATTTATACTTTTCTAGAAAATTGTCCCATTTAATTTAAAATTTATGGTATTAAATTATTAATAGTAATCTCTTATAATTCAAAAAAACTACTGTATCTGAAATTGTCTCTTTTTCATGTCTAACAAATGGTTTATTTCTGCCCACCCTTAATCAAATCTGAAATTTGTCTATTTTATTCGTTTTAAATACAAATCGATTATTTTATTATTTTAATAAATCCTTTCCAAGAATTAATTTTAGTTTTCTCTTTTAAGCTTTTTATTTGGGCACAACTTTAGACTTAAAGGAAAGTCCCAAGAATAGTACAAAAAATTCCTGAATATCCTTCATCTAGATCCCCTAAATATGAACATTTAATCACATTTGTACAGGGCATTAAAGGGATTTCAGGCTGATGAAGGAAGAAGATCCTGAGTACATGTGTACACAGGAGAAGCCCCTCACAGCCCATCCAGGGGCTGCGGCATGGGGGCCACTACCCAGAAAGTAAGGGGTCAAGGCAACTCCAGGGTATCTCTGGGTCAGAGCCACTTCGTGTCTTGATAGCCATGATTTGTCTTATCTATGGCTAGCAGATGTTGGGGCAGTTTCCCAGGGCAGCAAAGCAGGAGGGCTGTAAATGACTAAAAATCTTTACATTTGGGCTATGGTTAAAACAACTGGATGTTTTGACATTGGAGTTTAGTGTTGGTGGGCTTTTGAGCTAATGGTTCTCAACCTCCTGTGAAGAAATAAACAACATAGGGGTCACTATACAGAGGCTATCTTTGGCTCATTTACATAACAATTGAGCCTTCTCACCCTTCCCCTCCCTGTGCGTGTGTGCATGTGTAAATATTTCAATGTGCATTTCCCCCAAACAAGGACATTCTATCACACAACCACAGTATCATGATCAAAATCAGGAAATTAGCTCTTGCACAATACCATTGTCTAACCCACAGAGATGATTCAGATTTTACAAGCTGTCCCAATAATACCCCTTCTCTCTTGCTAAAGGAAATTTCGGATCCTGCACTGCAATTCTCTTCGTGTCTCTTTGGTCTTCTTTAGTTGGGAACAGTTCCTCGATCTTTGTCTTTCACAACACTGACATTTTTTGAAGAGCTACAGAGCAGTTATTTTGTGGAATGTTCCTCCATTTAGGTTTATTCAATGTTTCATCAGGATTAAATTTAGGTAATACATTTGTGGCAGGAATTTTTTTTTACCTGCTCTCTTATTCAATTTCTTCTTTTTAAATATCTGCTTATACTCATTTCTTTTCTTTTACTTTTTTAGGGTACTCTTTTCTTCCTGTGCTAGCCTCCTGAGTTGAATGTCATTAGTTTTCAGTCTTTTCATTTAATCCATATCTTAGAGCTATAATAGAAAGCTAGAAAGAAAAAGCATTCTTGGAAAGGACTTATTAGAACTGATAAAAAAAACACATTTGGTTTATATTTAAAAATAAAATAGATGAACTTCAGGCACAATTGATCAAGAGAAAGCAAAAATAAACTATTTCTAGACATGAAAAAGGAGATGATTTCAGATATAGTAGTTTTTTAATTGTAAGGGATTACCATAAATAATTTAATGCTGAATTAAATTCTAAATTAAATGTGACAACTTTTTAGATAAGTGTAAATTAGTAAAGTTGACTGACAAAGAAACAGAAAGCCAAAATAAATACTAAATGAAATGGATCCATACTCAAAAATACACCCCAGAGAAACACCAGGTATTTTATCAGATTCTGCTTGAGATTTTAGCAATGTGTATAAGCCAAAATGGATTTTTATCTAGAATATGTGAAAAAAATACTAAAAATACATAAGAAAAAGACAATCCAAAGGAATATAGGCAAAGGTGATAAACACACAAAACTACCTCATATATTGTTTATGGCTATATTCATACCTAGTAAGTAAATAAAAACATAAAAGGATACACAGCAATTTTAGTTGTTACCTCTGAGTGAGGGAGGGTGCACAGGGGCTCCAATGGTATTTATCAGGTTTTCATTCCTTAAAAAATCTGTAGCAAATAAACTTTTAACATTTGCTCAATCTGGACAATGAGAACAAAGGCTTCTTTCTTTGTACTTCTTTCTTTCTAGTTTCTTTTTATTTATTTAATATTTAGATTAGTTATGTGTTTAGATATTCTAATATTACTAATTAAAAATAGTAAAAATGAATTACAGACATACAGTAGGGGAAACCACCTTCAATAAGACCCAAGGTGGAGACTGAGTGAATGTTTTCCTACATTTGTTAATCTCTACAGTTTCTCTCCAGTGTGAGTTCATGTGTGAATATGAGATATGTAGAATATCTAAAGGTTTCCACATGTTTTACATTCATAGGGTTTTTCTCCAGTGTCAGTTCATGTGTATATGTCAAGATTTGTAGAACAAGCAAATACCTCCCATACATTCCATAGGCTTACTCTCCAGCATTGAGCTCTTTTAGTATTCATATCTAAACTCGTCTGGAAAAATACCTTATGATAACACGTGGGAATTTACTATGGGCAGAAATTCCACTAACATAAGGGATACGGGAGAGCAGTAATTCTTCATACCTTACGCAATGTGTAAGAACTCACACTTGAAAAACATTCCAGTTGTAAGGATGTGGGAAAGATTTTTTGTTTCACCACTGTTTATTTCACATATCTAAAATTACGGTAAAAGTCATGTGAAGGTAAGAATGAGATACAGCCTTAAGATATTTCACATGCTTTAATAGCGCACTGGAAACTCACCCAGGAAAAAAGCCCTCAGTATGTAAGAAATGTGGGAAAACAGTACTTAGGGCTCAGTCAATATCCACACTAGAATTCACACTTGAATAAGGTCCTACAAATGTAAAGACATAGGAAGACCCTCACTTGTTCCTCACATCTTTTCTGAACTCAACATTTAAAACCTTTCACTTAAGAGATACCTATACATGTAAGAAATCTGGGAAAGCCTTCAGAAATTCCTTAGAACCTAATATGTAAGCGGAAACAAGAATGTGACAAATGTTAAAAATCCTTCAGACATTAGTGAATAAGTCACAACGTGCAATGGAAAGAAATCTTATGCAGGTAAGATATTTGGGAAAGTTTTAGTTCTACCTCATATGTTAATATTCTTTGGTAATCTCACAGAGGCAAAAAACATGTTGTCAGTGTTGGAAATAAGGGAAATACTTCATTTATATTTATACCTTGCTCTTTTATTCTGTTGTAAAAATAATTCCCACTGCAGAGAAACTGTGATTGTAGGAAATGAGGGAAATGCTGCAACCTTTTTACAAGTCTTACTGTACATGTGAAAACCCACACCAGCAAAAAAGCTGTATGAATGTAAAAATATGGGAGTATTTTTAGTAAACACTCATGCCTTAAGAAGCTCGGAAAATGCTCACTGGAAGAATAAACTATGAATGTTAGCAATTTTGGAAAGCTTTCTGGTAATGTTCTTCATTTTTACAACAGAATTCATACTGGAGGGAAAATTAAAATAAATGACACAAAAATGAAAGAAAAAAAAAAAACACCCAAGGAAAAGACTGACACATTTGACCTTATCAAGGTTTAACACCATAGTATTGGTTTCATTCCCCCACCCCACCCCCAACTCGTCTTAAACAGAAAAGCATCAAAGAAACACAAATCCTCTTTCAACTCTGCATCACATCCCACCCCGACTGCTGCTCGCCTCTCTTCACCAAGTGCCGTAAAAAAATAGTCTGCACGAAACTGTCTCTGCCGCCTCCCTTCTCCATCAGCTGCAAACACACGCGCTCACATTGTCCCACCGTCACCGCCCAGGCCAGGCGCTTCCCGGCTTCACATATCTGAGACCCATCTCCCTACTCAATTTCCTCACTGCCTTAGTTCAGCCCTCACCAACTCCACTTGCTGCCGGTGTATTGTGACCAAAACCCAGTGTAACCGTGCTGCTGCCCCGGAGTACTGCACTTGGGGTGCGCACAGGAGGAAGACCACCCCCTTCGACCCAGCCCCAGAGCCTTCCCGGCGCAGCTCGCTGACCGGTCCCCAGCCTCGTCTCCCGGGGGCGCCTCCACGGTACCACCTCCAGCAGCACCCAACGTTTTACGCTCTTACCCCTTACAGATGCTGTTCCTTCGTCCTGAAACATCTTTTTGCTCCTTTTCACGCACACAGACCTTATTTTTCTGTAAGTCTGACCTGCAGTCACCCCTTCCCCGGTCTGAACGGACCCTCCCTCCCCTGGGTGTCCATTCATCCACAGGGATAACTATCAGGGTACCTACCTTTTGGTCGCTCTTATTTATTAACGGGCCCAACATCTCCACAGGAACTCACACGAGGATGGGACCCAGTCCTTGGCTTCCCGGGTATCTGACCCAGACACTCAATAAATGTTGGCTGAATGAGCCCAGACCCCTGAAATCACAACCATTTCACACGCTTCCCTCATTTCCCTTATAGCTCTGCGCACACCGCTGGCTGCGATGTGGGGTCCGTGGGAGCGAGGGAAGACTGGAGAGAAAGAGAAGTATCCCCTACAAGGCGGGGGGATCTCCTCAGCGGTCCTCCCTCCAGAGACCCAGGGAAGCCACGAGCGGAGTTCAGGGGTAGGGATGAGCACAGACGCTCCAGGTCAAGGGACAGAAGCAAATGTGCCCAAAGGGAAGAGGGTTGCCCTCAGGGCAGCAACAAGGCGCCCCCAGCTCACCTGGGTCCAGGCTGTCACATCTGTAGGTTCCCCACGCGAGCCTCCTGGAGACGGTGGGTTCCGACCAGGCAGAGCTGCGAGAAGAGAAAGGAGCAGTGAGACAAGAGGCCTGCTGGTGCTCCCACACCCACTACCTGTAGAGTCCCCCAGCCAAACTCGACAGCACCCCGATACTCCGAGAAGGACGTCAGATGGAACAGCCCGCCAGAGCTGAGCCGGCTCTGCAGCAAGTGAGTGGGTCTGGCCACACTGCACTCTCAACACAGCCTTGGAGCGAATATATTGCCTCGCTGGTGTGCGTCACAAGGACCTCAAAGCAGACCAGGTCCCGTGTGCCCAGTCGCAGTGGGAATAGCCTGGGGTCCGGAAGTGCGCACGTCCGAGTCCAACATCTCAAAACACTGCGCAAGAGCCCCCTCCCCGGGCGCACTACAACTCCCAGCAGCCTCTGCGGTGCGATACTTCCGGCCAGCCCCTATGCACTTCCGGCCACGGCCTCGGAGGATGCTGGCGTGGGCCAGCCAGGCGTGGCGTGGCTCCGTGGCCTAACCCAGTGTTGCTTCCATGGTGCTGGTTGCCACGCAAACTGTCCGTGAACGTACTCTCTTCCACAACCTCTCT